CATCTACAACTGGGCGAAGTCTACTTCGGCATACGTCAAGTCCCTGGATCCCAACCACATGGTGACGCTCGGCGACGAGGGTATGGGTCTGCCCGGCGACACTTCTTACCCTTATCAATACGGCGAGGGAACTGACTGGGTTGGTTTGTTGAACATTACTACCCTGTATGTTGCCCCCCTTGAATGTGGTCTCCGTGGTGGTGTCTGTGATGCTGATGATTGATTTTTGTTTAGGGACTTCGGAACGTTCCACTTCTACCCCAACTCATGTAAGTCTACCCAAAATAAGCGATATATCATTGAAAGGTCACTGACAGATTCCAGGGAGCGTTGGATACGACACTGGCGCCAAGTGGGTGGCTGACCATGCAAAGGCCTGCGTTGCCGCGAACAAGCCCTGCTTCTTTGAAGAATGTGAGTCACAAGCCACATACAGGAATCCTATGAAGAAGAAGAAAAAAAGATGAAAGCGACTAATTCGAATCTTCAAATAACAGACGGCGCGCCATCCGACCACTGCACGATCGAGAGACCATGGCAAATCGCCTCCGTTGCCACCGCGGGCATGGCCGGCGACGCTTTCTGGCAGCTGGGCGATACGATCAGCACTGGCCAGTCGCACAACGACGGCAACACCATTTACTACGGCACCGACGAGTGGACTTGCTTGGTCACCAACCATGTTGCCGAAACCAACTAGATGTGACAGCGTGGCTGTCGTGTGAATATGTGGCGGTCGGTCTTGACGTGAGAGTTGCTGAATGTCTGGCCGGGCCCGTAAATAGCCTTCAGTTCATTGTATATATTGAACCAAAACTTTGAGAAGTTTGAAGTTTTTGCGAAGAGTGAAGCTGCCTACTCGATGAGGAAAATCCTTGCTTGTATTTCAAAGACATTCATTGGTTCTGATCGGAGCGGTTTTTCTTGTTATAAACCATGATACAGGTGCCTCTACAGAAGTATAACTTTGAATGGCAGTAGAATCGCTGTCAAACCCTCCTGAAAGCTAACAAAACTAAGCCTCCTTAATACTGCTCCTCAACAGATCCTTCTCGACAATAACATCCTTCCACGAAACCAACTCGGGAACATCCCAATTCACCCACACCATCCGCCCATTCAGAAACGCCGCCTCCTCCGAAGCGCTCCAAACCACAAAGTCCCCTGCCAATTTCCCATCCGTCATCTTTCTTTTCAGCCCAGACTTGGCCAGCAAGGCCGTCTGCACCGCGCCAGGGTGAACAGAGACAACGTGCGCCTCAGACGCCGGGACGTCATCTGTGATGACCTCCGCCAGGCGCAGCATCGCAGCCTTGCTTGCGCCGTAGCTGCTCATACCTGGGATATGGAAATCGTATGCAGCCTTGGTGTTGATGTTGATTATAACTCCAGGCTTGCCATCAGCAGCTCCGGCCTGTAAGCCCCTGCGGTGGCGGAGGTACGTCTGTGTCATAAGCGCCGTGCCAAACACATTCGTCGTGAACCCTTGCCACCAATCCTTCAAATCCGCGTCGACGAAGCTCACCGGCTCGGAGAGGTACCCGGCGTTATTGACGAGGACATCCGGAGAGCGGTCTAAGCTCGCAAAGAGGGATGCTACGTGCTCCGGGGAGGCGACGCTTCCCACGTGGAGGGAGATTTCTAGGTCGGGGAAATCTGCGCGGAGGGCGGCTGCTGTTTGGTGGAGGGTGGACTCGGTGCGGCCGGTGAGGATGAGTTTTGCGGCGTTGGCTTGGGCGAAGCTGCGGGCTGTGGATGCGCCTATGCCGGAGCCGCCTCCTGTTATGAGGACTGTTTTGGCGGTGAATTGGTTGCGGAGGAGATTGGGGGAGAGTTTGGGGTAGGGTTCGTAGTGTTCTGTCTTGATGAAGGAAGCCATGGTGATGAAGCGATCTCTAATGTGGCTTTCTTTTCTGAAAATGGAAGAAAATGGAACGGCGATGTGGTTATGGCTATCTGTTTTCGGGGTGCATTTCTTGAAGGGAATATGAGTTAACCTGCCGAGGAGAAGACCTCTACTTCATGATTGATCAGAATACTTTTAAGGAACGGAACGCAGGTGTGATCATCTCACTTGACGTTCACTCAAAGTTGTGGCTTACCAAGCACAGTAGCTACAACCTTCGGAGCAGCATATAGTGGGATGTATCACTACAATGTGAAAGCTAAGACGACGCTTTCAGAAGCTTACGACTGTAGCTCTCGGAATGTCGGAAGGGAAACTGCAACGTGATTTTGAGTCGCACTCGCGAGTCCGCATAGTAAGTGGCGTCGAGGTTGAGGAGGTCCGAAGGGAGGTCCGTGTCTGTGCAGCTCTTGCATGTGCTCAGATGGGTTTACTTCAAACTCAAAAGAACTCGGTATGAAATCCAGGCCTTCATGCTTGAGGGGGAAGCTCAACATGCCCCAGGCTAGGCTGTATCAAGTTTACAAAATCTTTCATTGGCTGCTCATTCCTGGGGGGGGGGGGGCAGATCTGTTGATAACTCACAGGAATGAGCCATTGAATTGAAGGGCTGGAATAGCGAGCAAGATTGGCTACCTTTATCATCTTGTGAAAATTTACCGTCAAATTTCTAGAATTTCAATATCTCTAAAATCCGAAGGATCCAGCACCGGTTCACTCTGTCCGAATGAGTAAACACCGTACATGACACCGCAAAAAGCCCCTCCTACGGGAGGGAAGATAGTCAACGCCTCTGATTTGAATATTTTTGTCGTCGTAGTCCCATCTACTGAGAGACTCATCTCATAGTCAGAGGATTTGGCGGTGATGGACAGCTCTACCGGCTGATCTAAATCAAGCGCGGGTATTGCAGAATCCAACAGGGGTCGTGCCACCTTGAAACGTTAGAAAGAACGCCGAAAGCGATCAGGCGGCCTATGACGTACCTTGAGCTTATTGACCTTGCCCGTAGGCTCCCTCGTGATGATTGTCGGTACGGCGGATCCTCCATCTTGTGGTTGAACTGCACCAATGCCAATGGTGGCGTAGGAGTACTGACTCCACCAAACGGTAATGCCAGATTCATACCCTGCCCGACTGGGTTTGAAGAGCATCGTAGCCCTGAAGGTCTCGCTATACGATGTCTGCTTCCTTAGGATCATTGCGGGCGATTCGGGACTCTGGAGATCGAAGCAGTTCCCGTAGAGCCTCAGGTAGCCGGGACGTTCCGTCAGGCTATGGCAAGGCTTGATGGGCGTATCTGGAAAGATCAAATCAGCTTCAGCTTCGGACGCATGGCCTCGAATCCTCCCACTTACTCTTATGGTACCAGCCGATTTCCAGGGATGATCTGGATAGATCTGCCTTCCACTTGATCCCGTCAGCATCAGCAATGGCGGCCTTTTGAATCGCTTCCCTGCCAACGGTTTGAAGTGTGATGTTGCGACCCTTGTTGAACACGGGCCAATCATCCACCCAGTCAACCTGCACCAGAAACGTCTCTCGACCCATCTGCGGCTCAAGATATCTTTCTCCAGCCTTTACTGGCCTCACACCAAGTAGCACAGCCCACCAATTGCCATTGCCATCATCAAAGACGTCGCAGTGGCCGGTCCTCTGCACCTCCTCCTCGGGCCCGTTATACCACAGAGCCTTGCCCTGCCCCTCCCACGGCCCGTACGGCCCAGTCTGGCTTCTGAAAACCCACTCTTGGTGGCCAGCCTCTGTGCCGCCTTCGGCGGTGAAGAGGTAGTAGTACTCTCCCCGGCGGATGATGTGTGATCCTTCTGCGATTCCGTGTGGGGATTCACGGATTACTTGCGGCGGAGTGAGGGTTCTGCCTGTAGAAATGTCGATTTCTGAAATGTGGATGGCAAAGTCTTTCAGCTTCAGGCCTGGGGTTCGCTTTCCCATGCGCACTGTTGTTGAGAGGTAGACCTTTCCGTCCTTGTCCCAGAAGAGCTGAAAGTATGATCAGCCTTGCCCGTGTCATAGTCGAGGCGGCCACTCACATCTTGATCGAATCCGGGATTGTCAAAGTACACGGGATCTGACCAGGAGTTCTCATCCCAGATGTTATCGGTCCAGACATAGAATCCCCGAGGAAAGATGCGCTCCTATGAGTTCTGATGAGTATTGTCTCAAAATCATAGGCATGGTCTTTGCTCACATCACTCGTGGGTCGATATCTCTGAAAGAGCCCGTTGGCGAGATACCAGCGCTTCTCCTGAGGTCGATAGCGCAGCGTGCTCGCCCAGCTCCCGGCGCCCGGCTCGACTGTCCTCAGCTCGATCTGGCTTCTGCGCGTGAGTGCGTGCCCGATGAGCTTCCAGTTGATGAGGTCCGCTGAGGTGTATATGGCGCAGCCTGGGAAGTATTCAAAGGTGGAAGTTGATAGGAAGTATGTCGTCGGGGTTGAGTCTGTTGCCGGAACTACGCAGACTGTTGGGTCTGGGTTGAAGCCCGGTATTATGGGGTTGAGGAAGATTGGTCCATCCTCATGAGAGGTCATTTTGATGATCTCTAATGCGAATGATGGTATGTCCAAGGTAGGATGGCGGTGCCAATCATTGAATTGTAGTTGGTTGAAGAGTCCCTGAGCGTGTGACTTGAAAGCTTTCCAACCAACAGCTTGTTGATCCTTGTTAGTCCTCGTTGTTGCTCGCTGGCGCTTGACCTCGGCTTAAATTTCTCCAGCAATCACAGATCGCCCCGGGCCGGAGTATGCGATCTCCACTTGACAGGTGGAGTCCTTCGCCGCCGCTCGACACGGCCGAAGCCGATGATACGAGTCCGCCGGAGCTTAGTAGCCGAAGGCCACAGCCGCAATGTAGCACTCACCGATTGCACTTGATATGAACAAGCTTCAAGCTAGCCTTTTGAGCGAGGGCAGATGCATTTCCTTCTCCGTCTCTGAATTGCATCTGAGTCAGGAGATGGAACGGGACGGCCCGGACGAAGCTAATTGAATCTCGTGGTTCCCACCTTGCTTTGTGCCTTACATACAGCATAGACTAACACCAACACCAAAGCCATCTGAAGTGGCATAAACCGTTCACATCGTATCCTTTTGCGCAGTCCCAACAGTCGTCAACCACTTCGCCTTGCGAATGCAGAAGAACTCCAACTTTGGCTTCCACAGCTCGACACCATCCCCCTCCACGCCCTGCACGTCGTCCATCGTCCCGGATGTGACGGCGATCCGGCCGGGGTCCTTTTCGCTGACGACGAATAGCGAAGAGCCGCAGGCGCCGCAGAACGAGCCTTCCAGCGAGTTGCCCGAGTTGGATATCCCGGCCTTGTAGACTTTGATCTTCTTCTCCGGGTCGTCGACGGTGAGGCTCTGAATTATTTGGATGATTGGTTAGTAACTGATAGCTGGAATCTTGGAGGGACCGGATGGGTACCTTTGCCTCAACTAAGCTGTTCGCCCCAAAGGACGAACCCGTAAATTTGCGGCAGCTGTTGCAATGGCAGACAACTCCGAATCCGAATCCGCCGGCGACGGTATACTTGACCGAGCCACAGAGGCAGCTGCCTGTAACATTTGTTGGCGTCGGACCGGTCATTATTGTCATTGATGTTCAAGGCAAAGATAATTGATTACGGGCGCTTGATGGCGAAAGAATAAACGCAAATGTCGTGACGCAGAATTCATTTTCTATTATAGAAACTCAATTCTCTTCTTCTAGCGTGTAAAAACTGTCGAAAGTGCCAGATTCATCTCCCATCTTCCAGCCCGTCTCACCGCCGGGTATAATCTCACCCACAGATCGTGTCCCGTCCCGCAGGCAGCCTTTTTCATGCAAGTAAGCGCCGCCAGCTGGTGTCGATCTTTCCAAAGTGCGACGCCTCACAGTAACGTAAACAAATCGTCAAATCGTACGCGACCTTCGTGAGACACAAAATGAGGGGGAAAAGTCGGCGCTGAATGCATCAAAATGCATCAATCCGAAAAGGGACAAAAGAGGCAGCGCAAACAAGGCGCTGAGAAAATGTCAGAAGCGGCCTGCTGGTTCAGGTGCTCATCCACTCATCTTATCCCGTACTATCTCTCAATCGAGACATGGGCCTAGATCTCATTGAGTCCTCAGCCGTGGCTGAATTGAGGGCGTGTCAGTGGTTCAAATGCCCAATCTAGTGCTTCATTCCCCTCTCATCTTTCGCCTCACCTCCAACATAATGAGCTGAGTATCATGAACGAAATATCATGGCCTCTGAATCGTCGAAGCTGCCATCGGCCCCAAAGAGACGGGCGAGGCTTCAGAAATCATGTACCGAGTGTCAAAGGCGGAAGCAGAAGGTGAGTTGATCAAAAAAGCCCAACACAGATCAACACCAAGTCACTGGCCATGCAACTGTATCACGTGTCCAGGAACGACCTGAAACTGATCACTTGAGTCTCATCGGATTCATGCAAGACTGAAAGAATGGACATGTCATAGTGCATAATCCGACAGCCCGACGCGCAATGTGTCAACTGCTCGAGACGGTTCCCTCCCGTGGAGTGTACCATTGTCCAACTCGGACCATGTCTCCCGAGGCCGGTGTACGAAACGCAGGTCCTCACCTTTGACCTGTCCTCGCTTCCCTCGAAATCGGTGAAGCAGACAGAGGTGACCTCACGCGGTCCCTGTGCCACTTCGTTGCCCGGTATCGCGTCTCTGGACTTGCCCGGTAGACTGCCCGTTCGAAATCGTTGCAGGGAGCAGTTCAGTTCGAGTTGCCTCGCGGGCCATGATCACGCACGTCTTGGGGAAGACTGCTGTAAGGACTATCGAGAAGATGAAAGAGCCGTGTTGAAGGGCAAGACCCGCGCCAACCTTTTTCTCGATGGAGACGGCGACCCCCAGGCCTTCTTCCACAATGGTATCGCATCCATTGGTGGTATCCTCACCGAAGTTACAACCCTTCACGGAATGCCACTCCCGGAAGGGCCCAGAACGGCGGAGCTTTTACATTTCTGTAAGATCACCAGTATCATCGCCCTTGGAGTATCCGTAGCTGACGAGTCCGCCCATAGACGTTCAATTCGTGGCGCCAAATATGGTGTCGATTGATGGCCAAAGCCAGCCGCCCGTGTTTCTCAAGGAGGTCCTGCCGTGGATGCTGCAATCCCCTCTGTTTCCCAATATCGGCATCCTCATGTCGTCGATGACCCAGTCACTGGAGCGAGGCATGGAAGTGGCAAAGAGCCCCGAGTCGCTCGCCCTCAAGTCCTGGGTGCTGTCGATGATTGCAGACTACATGCGGCGACCGTTCGACGCTATCGCAGTTGAGATGGTTCGGTGCATTGTGAATCTGGTCGTCATGGAGGTGAGTTCGACGTCTAGTCCCGGAGGCAGTTTTATCAAACATGTCCCAACGAGAAACTGATTTTTCTGTCCAAGTGGTTTTGGGGTGCCGATGAGAGCATGTTTGCTCACATGAGAGGCATCAAGCGCATGATTAAACTCCGTAAAGGCATGCGCGGGCTGAAGGACATTGTAGGCGAATCCATCATAATTCTGTAAGTTCAAGTGAGTTCATATCAGGTCATGAAGGCTCTTGCTAATGCCCTCCAAAAGAACCGATTATGAGATTGCTTGTGCCTTTGAGACGGATCTATACTGGCTGGAGAACGATCCAGCCCGTGACGAGGAGATACCAGTCCCGACGACGTGGCCAGACTGCTACGACAGCCCCTTATTGGCGTCCGCACCGCGATTCGAGAGCATCGCAGAGAAGCTCGGCATCTGCGCCGCAACGGCCAAGATTCTGGACGACGTGCGGTTCCTCACGGAGTCCGTCACATCGGCATCGGCGATGGCGTCGACGGCGAGCAAATCAAAAATTCGATCAACCGCATCGTGGCTATACGAAAAGCTGCGGGAACAAGGCACAGCAGCGGCAGCAACGAGACCCACACAAGTCGCCTTCGCCTCCTCCGAAAAGGAACGGATCCTCGAGACCGTCAGGATCGCCGCCGTGATTTACAGCTGGTCCATCAAGTCCCTGCGACAGATTTCGCGGTTCGACGACGCCGAGATGCTCCGGGCGGCGTACGCCAGCCTGACGAGCGTGAGCATGACGACGTGGAAAGGGATGCCGGGAATCTTCCTCTGGGTGATGCTGGTGGCGGCCCCGAACGCGGCGGCGGATGCCCAGGGGCGTTTCGTGAGGAGGAAGATGGCCGTGACGGGACTGTCGATCGGGTTCGAGGACTTTGCGCTGGGGATATCGTACCTCAAGGCATTTTGGGGCGTGCAGCGGTGGATCGCCAGGGAAGGGGGCGGCGATGGCGAGGGGGGCCCCGGGATGCAGAGGCTGGATGATAAGTGGTCTTTTGGGTCTTGGCCGGGAGTGTCGGTATAGTTCACGATAGGCACGAGAGTCACGAGAGCATCAAACCCTCGCAGGCTGGCGCGTTGTGTTGTTCTGGCACCGGGGTGCTGGGTTGCGGACTTGCGGTACGGTACAGCCTACGGGATACCCGTACGGAGCCGAGCACGGGATAAGGGGAGGATGGGGGTTAGGGGGGCCAAGCTGATCCTGCGGCGTCACGAAGACATCAGATGCTTGAATTGTCTGACATTTGAATGATGGGTTTGCTGACCGATCTTTGGGTTTTGCTTCTTCATTTTGTAGGGTTCCAGTTTGTTGGAGGCGCAGGCAGTGAGATACAACACACATGATCACAAAAGGCAAATAGTTTGATGCTCGTTCTGAGCTTCTGCCACTCTGGTAACAGTGAGCGAAGGCATGGAGTAGGGGTGAGTAGGGATGAGGAGGGATCAAGGAGGGACGAGAAAGGGATGAGCAACTCGGATTTCCTAAAGGAGCAATCCGGTGGACCGGGACCGCATGCGCAAAGCAACACTGCACTCCGCATTTCTCCCCCGGACGCAGCTGTCTCCCCACCGCTCGAAACTCTCTACCTTGCCGTATTAGTCTCTGTTTGGTTGACATGCGCAGCCCAAGTGTCTAGCGTGCGTAGTAGTGGCTATTTGGATGTGTACCGACGTGTAGGTTTCCGCCGCCCAGGTAAGGTTACTAAGGTATCTGTGAATGTTGGTCTGGACTCTGGAAACTCAGAGGCAGGGATGATAATGGGGTGGGATATGAGTTCTGGACCCTACGTTGCAGTTCAGACCCAGTTTAGGTCCCTTGATTTTGTCTGCTCCGTTCTTACGAAGCTTCACGATACAACTCTGAGTCTCTGACAGTCTGAATGCTTAAGAAACAAACATCCGCAGTTCCGTCCCAACATTGTGGTGGCTGTGGCCAGAGATGAGTTTGGGAATGAGAGATGGAGCCAAGCCCCACGAGAGCCTTACCAGAACCCTTCTCAGGCACTCAGAGACTCAGAAACTCGGAGCTCAGACATGTCGGGGGGTTCTTGCAGCCCAACGGGTGGTAGTTGAATCAGCCATTTTCCGTTTCATGCCAGTGAAAACTCGAAAAAGTGGTGAAGTGTAATGTGGTTCTTTCGGTAAACCAACCGATTTTCCGCACCGCGGGCAGCCGGTTGAGTTTCCGCCGCGCGCGGAGGGGTCCAAAGGTGGAGTATTCCCGATTGCCCGCCCCCATGTTCCCATGTCCCCATGTCTTTCCCCCAAGCAAAGACTAGACTCTCACGCGGGAGCGCATCCAACTGCTTTCCCGGAGCTTTTGGAAGCAGCTCTGGAACCAGGGAACCGGGGGGAGTCCACGCAGAGACACAGAGACACGGGAACACGGGGGCAAGGCGGGGGCGTTCCAATCTCTATTCTGAAATCTGACATCCCGCATGACCTGTCTCGGACATCGCAGACCCATCTTTGAAGGTTCTAGCCCTCGATGAGAGAGAGGTTTGGAGCTCCATTGCTGCACATGCTGCCCATGGCATGCAACGAAACGTACCCGCCGGCGTGGACGAACAAACCTTAGATTTTCAGGTCCCGCAGAGACTCCGACGAGCAGCAAAAAAAAAAAAAAAACAGTGGTGCTAGGGGTTTCCGTTTCTAAGAAAAGATGAGGCGAAGGGAGCTTCGAGCTTGACACCACACACTAGACACACTGCAGTACCTGTTATCGGTAATTTGATGGCACACGAGCGAGCCCGACGTCTCGTCACCAGTCCATTTCCGGAACCGGCAGAGCGATACCTACTACCTAGTATAGACAATCCTAGACAGCTCACCATAACGCAAGCTCCCCGTCAGTCCAGTCCCATCCCCTTGTTCCTTCGCCCGCCATGGCCGGCGCTAGCCCGTTGGTTGCTAAAACGGATGCTCATTGTTGCTCGGGATTGCTGATCTTGATCTTGCCATGGGGGTAATGGACCATGGGCCAAGGGTCGTGGCATGACGGGAAGAACTTAGACGGTGAGGGGGGTGGGAGAGGCGTGGGAGGCAATGAGACGAGACGTGGGTGCGGGGAAGTTCAACCCATTAGGAAAAGGGTGAAAGGTAGAGCTCGACGATGTATAAGAACACGACTTCACGATGGTGTCCTGACCTTTTAGTTTCTCTTCACTATCACACACACCTTTCATCATCATCACTCCTCTCGTATTATAGACAACAAGCAAGCTCTATCAGAGTTCCATTGAGTTTCAAATATCAACACATTTGGTCCAATACACCCTCCCATCTCGGCCCGTCTTAGTCTTAACTAGCATCAACCACCTCCGTCATCAAACCTACCTCTCACGAAACCCAAGATACTTGAAGAAGCCAACAAGAAGGCCTCTTCCCCCCATCCTCCTATCCAGGAACCTCCACCAAAAACACACAGCAGAAGCAAAATGTCTCCCGCAGCTCTCGTTGAAGCCGGCAGCAACATGTCACGGTACCTAACCCGCGTCCAGCCACTCCGTCTCATTGGACCTTATCTGACCCCAAGGAAACTTCCCAGACTCGCAGTGCAGCCCGTCGAAGCCCCCGTCGTGGCACCCGCAAACCCCCTCGTCGCGCAGGAGAGGAGCTTCAACTCGACCCCCAAGTCCCTCGGCCTCGGCGCTACGGTCCCCCAGGTCGCCCGTGGCCTCCCCGAGTTCAGCCTCCAGGGCAAGGTTATTGTCGTCTCCGGCGGCGCGCGCGGACTCGGCCTCACGCAGGCTGAGGCTCTCCTCGAAGCTGGCGCAATAGGTAAAGAATCAACTCTTCTAACAATTTTCAATTCTCTATCTCTTTTTATTCTTTATTTTTCAGAGAGATATACTCTCTAGATGGATCACACATCATTTGCAAAGCTCAAGACTAACATCGACCCTTTAGTCCACGCAATCGACCGTCTCCCTACCCCAGACCCGGACTTTGAAAAGGTCGCCCTCCGCGCCACCGCCGAGCTCGGCACCTCCCTCTCCTACCACCAGGTCGACGTCCGCGACGTGGCCCAGCTCAACGACATCGTCGAGGGCATCGCCAACCAGCACGGCCGCATGGACGGCCTCATCGCCGCCGCGGGCATCCAGCAGGAGACTCCCGCGCTCGAGTACAAGGCCGAGGATGTCGACCGCATGATGGGCGTCAACGTCACCGGCTCCTTCATGACGGCCCAGGCCGTCGCGCGCCAGATGGTCCGCCTCGGCACAGGCGGTAGCATCGTCTTGATTGCCAGCATGAGCGGTACCGTTGCCAACAGGGGATTGATCTGCCCGTAAGTTTTTACACCCACAAAGTTGATTTTCACAAAAAGTGTAACAGATTGACTGACACTGCTACTATAGCGCATACAACGCCTCCAAGGCCGCCGTCCTGCAGCTCGGCCGTAACCTGGCTGCCGAATGGGGCGCTCACGGCATCCGCGTCAACACCATCTCGCCCGGCTACATCGTCACCGCCATGGTCGAGGCGCTCTTCGTGGAGTACCCGGAGCGCAAGGTCGAGTGGCCCAAGCACAACATGCTCAACAGGCTCAGCCAGCCCGGCGAGTACCGCGGTGCCGCCGTGTTCCTGCTCAGCGACGCCAGCAGCTTCATGACGGGCAGCGACCTGCGCATCGATGGCGGACACTGCGCCTGGTAAAAACCTTGGGGCTGACTGGAAAAGGCAAAAAGCGGGTTTAATGATTGTTTTTGGGTCTTTTGATGATTAGTCGTTAATTATTTCCAAAGACTATGGAGGAGTTTGGGAGCTTTTGCGGATTTCGTAGAGCAGTATACCTATAATTACATTTTTTTTATACACCTTCAACACCTTTGATCAGCAAGCACTATTCTGTATAATGTGAATGCCAAAACTCAAGCGGGCGACGTGATCCCAATCCGTCCCAGCCTCGCCACAACCCCAGCCTTCAAATCCAACCTCGCCTCAATCTCAGCGGGCGAGTGTCCCCTGTCGCGCATCAGGTGCATCTGAATAATCGTCTTCAAATCCAGAAACTCCCTCCCGCCGCTGCTGCTACGTCCGAGCCCGTCAAACTCGGCATCGGCTTCCTGCTGGAGCCGGCGGCGGGCTTCGAGGGTGCCGAGCGTTGCATTGCGGGATGTGGAAGGGAACAAGGGCCCCGGGTTCTGGATTAGATCGGCGTGAGGACTCGGGCCGGGGCGGCTGCCTGCGACGGGACCGGGGCCGGCGCTGGCTGTTGATGTGGAGGAGAAGGTTGGGTTTGGCTGGACGATGCCCATTTGGCGGAGGCGCGAGGAGAATTCGGCGGTGACTTCGGGATTGGTGGCAGTGGTGGTGGACGTGGGATCTGGGTCGTAGCAGTCAGCTTTGAGATCATGATTGATCGAGAAGTTCAGTGTGTTAAGGTTGAAACTGACCTTCTGGTTTGAGTGTCGCCGTCTTCGTCTGTGACTGAGCCTGCGCGGGCTGGGTCGGAGGGGCAGCGGGAGCTGCTCTCGCGGCGGTCGACGGTGGTGGTACGGCGCCCGGAGCGCGGGTCGGGAATTTGCGCGCGGCGCCCTGCGCGGCTTTTGAAGAGGATGATCCCATTGTATCGAATCTGGTTCGTGAAGTGGTGGCGAGTGGGCGGGCGGGAAGTTGAGAGAAGTAAACGGAAGAGTCGCACGGGAGAATTGGCGAGGAAGAGAAGAATGCGACCGGCGAAGCTCGAGATTCTTTGCGGCAAACGATAGAATTCTTATCGATACCGATGACAGGGACCATGACGCATCCATTCTGGGGTACGTATTGTAAGATGAGTTTAGTCGTATCTGATTGGCCAATTCACCGATTTCCCGCGGAGCTCTCGGTGTGGCCCTCGGTCAGCCTTCGCGCCAGACGTCAAGAAATGGTCTATGGCTCCCCTTCTTCAAAGAGCTTAGATATCCCGTATAAGCTGGTCACATCATATCTTAGTTCCATCAACTACCATTCACTCTAATAAGTCACAGCATCTTCATTGCAATGCGTGAGGTTCCTTCAACTCTGACGAAGCGACAGCCGTCGTGTTCTTCTCCGTGGCGACGGGGCTTACACCTTCGGTAGCAATGTAAAGCTCCATCACCTTGGGTCCAGGGTAATGATGGACCGCGTGAACCGCCCACCACAGCCCCGTGATTGCCACCGTTCCCACCAAGATAACGGCACTCCAGTTCATCGTCGCTACTGTCGTGGGCAAGACGAATGCTTAAGCTCTCATTAGCGCGTGGCCATGGTTCTTGTTTTTTTTTTTTGGAACAAACAAGGACTTACGGAAACAAAACATGATATCAAAGAGGACGATGAATAGTACAGCCAGTCCGTTGATGACGTATCCCGCTTTACCCAGATGGAAGGGTCCACGAGGGAAGTACTTTCGCCCGGAGAGCATGTTTGCTGCGAATGGGATGGCGTATGATACAGATGTCAGAATTATGAACGAGCTTGCTAGTGCCAGGAAGGCTGCGGAACTCCCGAGGGGTATGGCACCCAGCCCTGTTGCAACGACGCCTAGATGATCCGTATTAATCTTCATGCCATTGCACTTGCGGAGGGCGGGAACGCGGTGACGTACAGACAAACAAGGTCGACCAGACAGGACAACTCAGACGCTCATTGACCTTTGCGAAGACGTTGGACAATGGTACAGCGTTATCGCGTGCAAGCGCCCAGTAGGTACGCGAAACCTGAGAACAATGTCAGCAACTGCAACTTCACCAGCTCAGTGAATGGCCATCTCACCGTCAACGTCAAACCCACGCAACACGTCAGCGTACAGCCCAACATGATGAACAGGAGGCCAAACGCTGCGCCTGGGCTCCGGATTCCATTGCTGTTCGTAGTGGCTTGCACGTAAATGTTGGTCAGCGGAAAAGAGTTGAAACCGCCTTGGAGAGCCGTAATGTCCGTGATGGCGTATGACAGCGCGACGGCGAAGCAGAAGGCATCTATCGATAGTCAGTCCCGGGTTCATAATATCTGCAGAATGTTCACTAACAGACGAAGCCCAGGGATATCTGCAATAAGATTGCCTTTGGGAGGTCCTTTTTGGGATGCGGCATCTCCTCAGCCATGTGCGTGACCGAGTCAGGAGTTCCAATCGTGAAAGCGCCGTTGAGGACACCTAGAAGGAAAGCAACACCCCCTGACCACCCTGTGGTGTTGTTCTCATCGAAAGAGCCCCAAACGAAGTGATTGCTCGCGTGTTGCTTCGGCATCGCCGCCAGAACGATAATGGTGACGACGCCACCTACCAATACAAAAATTGTTCCGGCTTGCTGAGTGTACGGAGCATACTTGTTGGCAAAGACAATGAAGCCCGCGCACCCCCAGAGGATGATGAGGTATCCGATGAAGACGTGGAAGGGCCGGCTGACGTAGGTATCCCAGTTCCAAACGGCGTACATGCTCACGGCGACATTGCTCGAGATCTGCAGCAGGGCTGCGAGCGAGAACAGCCAGCCGTAGAAGTTGATCCAGCCGGTGAAGAAGCCAAGGACTCGGCCCCAGCGAGGGCCTCCGGCGATGGTGGCCCAGTGGTAGACGCCGCCCGCAGTGGGGACTGATGAAGCGAGCTTGGAGGAAGGTGTCAGGCTTCGTGATTCACATTGTTTTGGAAAACGAGAGGGGCTGTTGCAAGAACTGGGATAAGAGAAGACAAACCTCTGATAAACTCAAGCCGATGAGGGAGTAGTAAAAGACGGCGACAAGGAGGCCGTAAATGATGCCGGGTGGGCCACCGTTGACTAGATTGATCCCGGTTCGTCACAACGTCCGACTTGCAAGCAATAGGCGTCTAGTGCAACTTACGAATTGACACAGAGATGGACGATCCCAAGGCGACCCAGGCGTTGTCCACTGTCAGAGCCATGCTTGCCAATCCAAAGAATCCATATTGACGATTCAATTGATCCCTGTGGCCTGCGGCGTTCAACCGGACCCCATCTTGGACGGCGACTACGGTCTCGTCATCGGACGTAGACGCCGACTCGGCAACTCTATCTCGTGCAAGAAATGCCTTCATTGCAGGCCTTTAAAATCAGAGAAATTGACTGCCTGCAACCGGCCAGTGCAAACAGGCGTGGGATGGGCGATATCGAAGCGCGGATACCACTTAAACAGTGGGAGCGCTAGAAACGCTGAAAACGAAAGGGTGAAAAAAGAGGAAGATTAAATGCGAAACGGAAAGCAAGACAGTAACAGTCCGACGCAAGACGTCTGTGAAATGCGACACAACGGGCGAAATATGTAGAAGGCCAAGGAGGCAGATGATAAGACGGTCTTGGTGGGTGACATTGTGCTTCTAATACGCCATGTCTTGGGACGGAAGAGCTGCAAATGGACCATCTCCCAACCAGTGGCTAGCAATATCAGATAACACTTGTGCGACGGCCATAGGTACAGATTTGGCGTCGCATTCAACAACCGACTTGTCAGCCTGCAGAAGCGCCGGTTCTGCATATCAGAAAGGGATGCCTTGGAGGGCTAGACATGTTCCAATGAGCTAGGCATGCCTCGAAAACACCCTGCCTAGGGTCTTGGCTACCAGAAGAAACGCGCTGACAATTTGTTTTTGAGGATTTCGGCTGTTTTCAAACTAGAGCCCATCGTCCGCTACGCGATACGTGGGACGGGCCGTCCGACCTCTGACTTGTATCATTGTATGATCCTCGCTGGTCCACTTGGAGGAGCGAGGTACTCCGTACGGATCATAAGGTCTAAGTTGCATTCTGGGGAGATAGAGGGGAAGATAAGTCGAAAGGGAGGCCGAATATTGACAAATCGCGGCACACAACGCTGGGTGGCTGAGTAAAACGGATACGTGCGGGAACGCTCGAGCAGAAGTAAGCTTTCTCAGGGGCGAAGCCGAGTGGCTTGAGCCCCTATGGCGCGGCCCAGATCATAGATGGGGCCTCCCTTGGATGCCGGCGATCTCAGTAGGAACGGCGGCCAATCCCATGGCTTGTCCACGTGTGGCTGGCTAGGGAAACCAGCCGAGGCGCATTGTCTAGAGAGTACGGAGTACGGAGTACGGATAGATGAACATCTCATCGAACGCGCCCCTCTGCTTCGTGCGAGGCTTGCTTTCGTAAAGTTCGCGATGAAACCTGTGCTCTGGGAGTCCATCTTGGATGACCATTGAAGAATTGATCCAATTGATCTTCCATCGGCAGATGGGGCAGCGGCCGATGCGACGATGACTGCTTTTTACCAAGTGTAGCCGAGACGGCCTATTCCGCTATTGGACTTCGTATATGATCGAGGCCCTTGTCTGAAGCAAGGAGGCTGGAGCTGGTGAAGGTCAAGATGCGTGTCTCACTGGTGCCGCCTAGATGGAAGAGGTGGAGAGATGCGATCCAGGCCTGGTGGCCTGCTAGTTTTCGCCCGATGGCCGACCTCGAGCTTTCGAATCATTTCATTGGCAAGTCTTGGCAAGGTGATGGGTAGTAGTAGAGTTCCAAGTGCTGACCATTTGTTGAATAATTGCTTGGATCCGCGCAACGGTGATTAGCAAGACCTGAGAAATCTTACAAAAAGGCGATAACCAGTAAGTTATCAACAATGGAACGAACTAGTATCTACGGGAGGGTAATTGCATCTTCTTATCGAATCAGGGTTGTCTCGTGGACGGCAAGAAGAAAGCTTGGTGACAAGTAAAATGGAAATGGAAGAATTGAAGCAAAGAATCGTAGAATGAGATACTCAGGTACACCCCGCTAGAAGCGTTCCCGCAATCCGGCAGCTTAGCGCCGAATACTCGTTATTTGTTTCCTTAAGGTACCTGCCGTTTAGCACCTACCGCCATCCATTTGTGGATAAACTAGCGAGAAAGGGCCAGAAGCTTAACAGCGCGCCAAGTGGGTCCGAACGTTGCACCCAGGAAGGAGCTCAGGGAATTCCCTAAGACGAAGGAACACTCACTCACAATTGGAAAGCTCCATGGATTTTTCATCAATCCAGTGTTTTTTTTTTATCACTTGCCATCTTCAGGTGCTTCTTCAACCATCATATCATATTCGCCCTTTTTGTGACCTCAAAGCCTCTTAACCTCCACTTCCCTGCGTCTCACCCTTGCTTCCACGTTGCGCTGCTTAGCTGACGTCGGGCTAATTGGTGGACATTTCTCCCCAAAGCTTCGTCAAACTCTGTAAAATTCGACAGCTGGACCTTGCTGCAAACTTAGCGGCCGGCGAAGAGAAAACTACAGGGCTCGCCGAACATCTCAATTCCATTTCCAAGTGGGCCAGCACAAAACCACGAACTCCTCGTACGGGGAAATGGCCCCCTTGCTACGTTTTGACGTCGAGCTTCTTATATTACTTTGACTCACAAGCTACCGAAGAGAGGTGAATAAATGCTTATCAACCTTAATATAATATACGGTCACTTTATCCAAGAACTCAGTGACGAAATCCCGCAATCTGAGCAGTCCAAATGCGACACTGAAGAACAAGTCGATATTCATCCAATTTCCGATCAAAGCTCGTGCGTCTGGCCATTGCCGATGTCGACATCCAGAATCTGCCTGTCACCTCAAACGCCCAAACAATGCTTTCTTAACTGCCGGTCCTATTCCCCAGGGACAGTGCCGGATGGCTTCGGGCCATTCAAGGTCATCCCTTCTAACCCGGGGTCCCGTCCCAGGCACCATGTCACGTTCAACATCTCTCCTCAGCGCGGAAGTGCAGGCATTTATATGAATAAATAAATAAGCAGCAGCTTGTTCAAGCAGTATCCACTGGTGTTTTCAGGAGAACGGAGTCTAGTCGTCTGTTTGACCCATGTTCATCGTCATCTGAAGATAATACTTAGGAGGTGGTGATCCGTCTTGGTAGCTGAAAATGCCCCGAGTGCCGTTTCCGTCATTGCTTTCACATCTTCCGTTCCCAACGTTCTGCAACTTGCCGTAACGCCCGTGGCGTTCTACGCAGCTTACCATGAGTAGCTTCAAGCACCTAGCAGTAGCTCTCGCCTTCCTTCTGTGCATGATTTCTCAAGCAGAAAGCTCATCGAAGCCAGTGAGACAATGTCCGCCTCTGAAGAAGGGCAGCTTTGTTGTACAACAGTACCAACTCTATCCCGAAAATGCGGACTGGGACGTCAACAACTGCATAGTCTATTTTGGGTAAGCTTATACGTACAAACTCACATATCAACCATGACGCTAAAGCAGAGGCAAGATCACTATTCAACGCTAGCGTTGTAGTTTACGATCCTTACAAGGACGCCGTCCTCGACATCTTGACATTCGACGGTATCACACGCAACCCTGCCTTACACATCGGTGGCGTGCAGGTAGATACTCGCACCAAACTAGTCTCGATTGTAGTCGACGCCGCCGCCCCCTTCAATACCGCCGGAAATGACGTGTCGGGTGACAACTTCATTATCAAATACGACCCGGCAAAGAAGCAGGTTCTGTGGAATAAGAACATCACGGCCGTGACAAAGGGGGAGTATGGAGGCTTCCAGGACATTGAGCACGACACCCACGGCAACACCTACGTCGTTGGCTCGTTCCCGGGGACAATCATGAAAGTCAACCGCGAGGGCTCTGCCGTCGTCCCGTGGTACCTCCCTGCGAAAATTGACCACACGAAAATGGGCTTCTCCGGTCTCGCGGCCACTGGTAATATCCTGCTGTCCAACAGTAACGAGGACGCCCAGATCTACCGCTTCGACATGAAAGCGGATAAGGGCGCTCCCGTGCTCGTACCCAGATCGCCGAACGTGACGCTGGCCGGCACCGATGCCATCTATCTTCCACCAAGGTATGGTGGGAAGGTCTTGCTCATTGCCGAGAATACCAAAGGCGTGACTGTTTTGCGGTCAAAAGACGGGTCATGGAAGTCTGCGGAGCACCTTGGTACCGTACCGAATAACTCCACTGATGCTCAAGGAGGAATTGTCACTGCTCCGGTGCAAGTCGGTGGTAGTCTTTTCATGGTTGAGGAGTTCTTTGGAGATGCTCCTGTCGCCGGCTCAACTTCTGGGAATAGGACCAGTTTCCCAATGGTGGATATTACCTCGCAGGTTGAGGATCTTCTCAAGAAGTGAGGGAGTGCCGGTTTGAGATTGCAATTATAATGCATACAGTCCTCGTCAACGTAGGAAAGGACTTCATTGCCATCTCTAAAATGCAGATTCTATCCACCGATTCGATTAGGTGTTAATTGAGACCACCCCTCTGCTCTTCTTGAACTGACAAGCCCCTGGTTCATTGTCTGACATGCATGAGTCTGCAGGTATCCACTATTGCGCGTCGAGAGACAAGTACCTATTGGATATGTAGATTCAATCTAGTCCACACCCCTCGCCGGTAGTAGGGCTACAACGTCAACCCAATAGCTCGTTATTACGGCCCAAAGTTGCCGAGTTCGTGCTCAGGGTCCTTCCAATACCATGATTCCTCGATAACGAGAAGTCTTCGCCCATCATGCCCTCCACGTCATCCGGCCCTCACTCATGCGAGTGGTGTCGCAGATTCTTCGTCATACGCGCCGAAGCCGATATCCCGCGTCGGGATCGGGGCGACAGATACGACGCTAGGTGGAACAAGATCGTATTCGACACCAGTCTCACAGAACTTCTCCAAGTCCAGCAGAAAACATGTGCCTTCATAGACTGGATCCTCGACGGGGAGTGTATCGCACGACCAGACATTGGCGAATGCGTCGACAACATATCCGGCGAGGTCTATCAGATGGACATAGAAGAGCTCGAGCAGTTCCACAGCCAGACGGACCAGGACTCGGACTACAGGCTTCCCTCCATGCGCCACGCCCTGCGGAGCCGCAGCGATGGATACATAAACTTCGGTCTCGTAGCCGAGACGAATCCCCCGTTCCGTATGGGCGGTGACCGCACGCCAGACGTCCTGACGATAGAATACTTTGGACTTTGGGACCCGCGCACGAAGCACGTTTCGTATAGGACGGTCAAGGGTCTGCAGATATACACGCCTCATGATAACCCAGCGGCCAGAGACTTCTGGACGCGGCCAATACAGAATAATGCTGCGTATTGTCTGCCTGCAGTAAAGTCATGGCTGGCCGAGTGCGAGGATAAGCACGAAAGGTGTTGGGAGCTGAAGACGCAGTCTGGGCCGTCGGCACTCAGGCCCGTTAGGCTAATATGCATTGATCCAAACTCTGTAAGAGGGAGCTATTCGCTGCGGTTACAAAATACGGTGGCTCTAAACCCTTTACCGAGATTCGCAGCTTTGAGCTATTGCTGGGGCGGCAATCAGACGGTGAAATGCGAGACGTCTACACTAGAAGCATTCGAGAAGGATATTCCCTTTGAAAAGCTGCCTCGGACGATACAGGATGCCGTCACAGTCTGCTCGCAGCTCGGAGTCGAACACATTTGGGTCGACGCACTCTGCATCATTCAAAATGAAGGCGACGACGAAAAGATTTTGGAAATTGCAAAGATGCCTTATATTTACGGTCAAGCTTCATTCACCATCATGGCATCCAGAGCCAAGACTGCGTGGGACGGGTTTCTCCAGGACAGAGAGTCGTTCACAAAGTCCGATCAAGCATTTCTTCTCTCGTGGCAGTCAGAAAGGGGCGAAATGGGATCGATTGCCCTGGTTGAGTTGGAGACGGGGCCTGAACCTATCGACGAGCGGGGGTGGACTTTTCAAGAACGTCTTTTATCTCCCAGAATTGTCGAGTTCGGCTCCCGGCAAACTCGATGGAGCTGTCAAGAACCGATTCCATCAACCACGGGGAACGATACGCGATACGGTCTTGACGTCGGCGAGGGTGCAACCGACGGCTGGAGGAAGGTTGCAGAGCCCAATGACTTGAGACAGGACTCGTTCAACTGGGGCCACTGCTCCAAGACTCCATCACCATGGGGTGCCCTTGTGGATATTTACACCAGCCGCAATTTGTCATTCAACACTGATCGTGCTCTGGCTATGTCGGGGGTCGCGGAACGCTTCGCCGTGTTGACTGGCGATGAGTACGCCGCGGGTCTCTGGAAAAGGAGCATCCGGGACGAATTGCTGTGGAGAGTGGAACAAGATGAGCGTCGGAATCGGCCCGCGGTCTATCAGGGGCCATCGTGGTCGTGGTTTGCCGTTAATAGCAGTGTGAGAGCATACGTGGCTCTGGGTGATGGTTGGGAGATCCCTACATTCGAGGGCGATGTGACGGATGCGACGGAGGTTTACCACGCCGAAGTCGTATCTATTTCGGCCGAGCCGGTGAACAAGAAAGCGCCCTACGGCGACGTCTGTGACGATTCAGGCCGGCTTAGAATTCGTGGGCGACTCGCCGCGGCCACCCTCAATCATCCTACAGGAGATTCGAGAAATGATTCGGAAGATGTCTTTGATATTAGCAGTCCTCAGAGCGCACATGGTGTTTCCGACTCAGGGATCAGGCTCATGAGTACCAGAAACATCAGCTGTCATCTTGACTGCCTAGATGAAGTAGACGTCAAGTCTGCAATGCCGGCCATCGGCTCTGAGGGGTACGTGGCGCTGGAGATCAAGAGAGTGCGCGGGTACTCTGCCGATTGGACTATACTCGGATTACTTCTACAGCCGTCTGAGAAGAATGGGGGAAGTTCATTGACTGGTGTACCAGTTTACAGAAGAATTGGCACGTTTGAGTTGGAGCTAGAGACTACTTTTGATGGCTTGGATGATGACGAAAATCATGAGAGCGAGGAGCGTTGCTTCTTCGACTTCATCCCACCGCAAGTAATTGAGTTATCTTGATAGACACGATGGAGATTAACTCTGTCTCTATTCTGATTTGCAGAACCTGAGTACAGGCAAATTTAGAGGACTGCCAGTTCGCAAAAGGGTTCGAGTCGTCTCTTTTTGCTTCCATCACATAGTCTTCTAAAGCCACATCTTGACTCGACTTGTAGCATCGACGTCTCAGCAGGACTTGAAAAGCACCCACACAACGATCTATGCTTTTGCGTAGGTCTTCAAAGGGAATCGAGGTCTTGTAACATCATGAACTCGTGCTCTCTTGTTACAGAAACTCAAGTGGTGTGTTTCATAGTCACGGCAACCCAAGATGAACGCACTAGCCAAACGCAGTTCATCCTTGTTCAAAGCAGGATTCTTCCATTACATCCAAGACTCCTCTCGAAGTCTGGCCTGGTGATTCGATATCTCACGGGCCTAGACAACAGGCCGTGAACGACAACTAAGAAGTCATGCTCTTAAGCTATATCCTTCCCACATCTCATCTCGCGTTTACTTTCCATATCTCTTCTACATTGTCATCTCTCTTACCTCCCACTTTGTCATCATATTCCGCCTTGAATAAGTAAATTATAGACATCTAATTAAACATCAACCGAAATACATGACAGAGCCTCCAAGGAAACGAAGCTAACGAGCAGTAGAAGCACAAAAAAGGAAAACATACCCGTTACTGGAAGTACCTGGAGCCATCATATACCCGTCATGGATATACCGATGGATCGAAACGAAAAGCTGAAGGCCCTGCCCTGGGCCAAGATTTTCGAAAGGCTCAACCGGGAGAATACAGGACACCTAGGTGAAGATGAAATGCAGAATCAAAGGGATAACATGCGTGGAAATCCTACGACTGTAAGCCATAGGATCAAGAAATCGGTAAGAAGCGGCATGAATGGGAGTGCTCCTGTCGCAGTCATGGGCCCCTTTGGCGGTGGCGGCGCTGTTCCTGCGAGTATTCCTGCTCCCAGAGCTCTGGGCAGTCAGGCGCCGACGCGTCCCAGCATTGGACCTTATTCACCTTCACAGCTCTGCTCCTGTACGTTTTCCCACACTCCTTGGCTGAGATTTCTGCTGATCAACTTTAGCGAGCCGAGCGATCTCATGCCCCAACGTCCAATCTACACCTCCATCCCACCGTATGATATCGCCATCCTTCCTGCAACATTCTTTTCGTGAGTCTCATCCCATGAGCCAAATTCATTCATCTGATGAGGTTCTCACTCATTTGGCCTAGCAACATTCATTACTTCAAGTCCCTCCGGCCCGATCGGGTCCCCCCAGTACTCGGTGATGAATTTCCTATCTCCGCAGCACCCATCGCGTACGTCTCACCTCCAAGCTCATGATCTTATTCGCTTCTCCGCTAATCAATATCAGCGATTGTGACGACATTCAGTCCCAGTGGCCGTCCAATGCAGAACCCGATGGTGGCGGCGCTTTCATCCGGGCAGCAGCCCCCTTTGAAGGCGCGACTTCGTGAGATTCACCCCATCCGAGCTAACAATCACTCACTCCTCTTTTCATCTCACTAATTCCAATCTCGAACACAGAAATGGACAAGAACCAAAGAGCCTCAGTTGTCAAGGTCATCAGCCCGGAGAAGCCTCGGAACTCGAGCAGCCCCCCGATCCCCTCTGCCCTCCGAAGTGTCAACTTCCCTCCTCCGTCGCTCGAGAGCACCACAGACGAGTCGAGCAGCGATGAGCTCATCATCGCAAACCGCGCACATCCGGGCAGCCAGCTTCACCAGACACAGAGCAAAGTGGGAATGAATTTTGATCCCGCGTTCAGCTACCCCCCTGCTCCCATGTCTCCGAATCAACTCTTCGACGCATTCTCATCCACGAACACGTTCGCAGCCAGTAATCCGCCTCCTTCCTTGCCCCCTAATGACCTACTCGCGAACCCGGGCCCTGCTTGGAACCTGGACCTGCTCCAGAGCCCTCAACTCGGGCACATTCTCTCACCGCAAGCGGAGATCGCAGTCAGAGTCGGTAACGCGCGCACCCTCGCTCACAACGGCTACCGCGGCCCCTTTGATATCGGCCGCCTCACCTGCCTCATCGACCCATACACCGGCGAGCCCAGCCCCATCGCCGAGACGCGCCCCAATGACCACGGCAATATGGTCACGTATGATCTGCACACCAAGGAGAACATCCTCGACGCCGAGCCCTGCCAGACGGGCACCGCCCGGTGGAGCAGGAAAGGCGAGTTCACTGGCTTTGCAGAGTCGAGCGCCGCTTCGTGGGTGCTTAGTCCCGGATAGAACCCGGCCATGCCCCCGCCTCAGGTCGATGAAATCAAGGATCCGCGCTTCAAGCCGAACGCAAAGGATGCCTGGATGGGTGCCAGGCTTGGTGAGGGCACTGTATCTGTCATGGTTCACGATGATGATGTCCCGGATGCGACGTCTAACTTGGGCCCGGCGCCGTCTTGGGTCAAGGACGCCAATGGCATTTTGGGTATTCCGAACGAGGATGACGAGGATGAGGAGGGTCTCTTTGAATATTGCAACTTGGATTTTGACGACTGATTATTCAGTCGCCGGTACTTGGGACACTGGAGTTTGGATGTAATTCTTTCTCACTTGGAGAACAAGGTCTACTTTGGGAACTGGGCCAAAGGTTCAGGTCTGAACAGCCACCAGGATCGTAACGAAGCGTTTATGAGTACATGTATTGATTAGGAAATCCCCCCTTGTATTACTTTATACAGGACGTCTTGCATCCAAAGCGTGAACAAACTCATGGTCCCGCACTGAAGCGATCCATCCCCAAGACTGATGCCTTCTACACCAGTCTTTAGTCAGTCTGAGTGCGCTCAACACACATCTTAAGCCTCAGCCGGAGCTCGGGATCGCCATCCTTTCCCGTAATAATCACCTTCCGGGAGGCGGCATAGGCTTGGTCCCGTTCTGAGGGGTAGCCGTTCCATTCGCAGGAGGAGGCATCCCTCCGCCTCCATGGCCGCCACCACCTCCACCACCTCCAGGAGGCTTGTCACCTCCTCCTCCGGGGGGCTTATCACCGCCAGGAGGCTTATCACCCATGCCCTCTCCACGCCCACAGCCACTCATGTAGAGCGTAATCTCACCACAGTTGACGCCCTGATCGTTCTTCTTGTACAGGTTGTACGTCTGGTTCTCGGCCTCGCACTGGAAGTAGCGCGTCTGCTCCTGGAACTTCATCTTGCCGTCGCAGCCTACGCTCCAGCCCTTGTCGGGCTTCTGGCCCGGGTCGCACTGGAGTGTCTCGGTAGGGGCTGTCCACATATGTTAGTCCATCTGCTTTGTTGATGACCGAGGACGGGGGGGATGATTCGAGACTTACGAGTCCACCACATGCCGCGGCGACGGGTATCGACAATCTCGCCCTTGTCCATACGGAGGATGACGGGCTCGAGGCCGATTCTCAGCTGGCCGCTGTCCAGCTGGCCGACCCAGCCCGAGACGGAGCCCTTGGCTCGCATGCGGAACGAGTTGCATTCCGTCATGCCGCCGCCGCCTTTTCCTCCTCCACCTCCACCACCACCGCCGGGTTTGTCCCCTCCGCCGCCACCGCCTCCATGGCCACCTCCATTGCCTCCTTTGCAGTCATCTCCTCCCTTTCCACCACCGCCGCCACCTCCTCCACCGCCGCCTCCGCCGGGCATACCAGGCATACCGGGAGGTTTGTCACCACCTCCACCGGGCATACCGGGAGGCATGCCAGGCGGCTGCTTGCCTCCGTGACCGCCCTTGCAGTCATCCCCACCCTTACCACCACCCCCTCCACCGTTTCCGCCGCCTTCACCAGGCTTGCCTCCGCCCTCACCGCCGCCCCCGTGACCTCCACCTCCACCGCCGCCACCACCACCAGGCATACCAGGCGGCTTGTCACCGCCCTTACACTCTCCACCGCCGCGGCCGCCGCCTCCTCCTCCTCCGCCTCCGGGGTGATGTTCCGGGTCCATGGTGTTGTTAGTCTCCCTGGGCACGAGGGCTAGAGCGAGAGAGCTCGTGGCCAGGGATACAACTGTAACTAAAGAAAGACGCATCTTCTTCTCGTTTTCTCTGAACTGTGATTTTTTGTATGTGTGTGTGCTCCGTCTACGTCTACGAGAGACTAGGAGTTGGTGAAGGGTTGTACTAGTGATGACGACAAGCAGTCACTCGCCAACCACAAATAGGTGCTCCGAGGTAAAAGTAATAACCTCGTGATGATGGCCCGTGTTCAGGGGGGGAAAAAGGATGATGTGCTGGGTAAGGTTTACAAAAAAAGAAGAAGCCTTTTGATCCTTCTTCCAGCACAACTAGAAGCGAATGCTGGGCGGTGGTGTTCGGATAAGAAAAAGGGGTGAAGAGCGTGAGGTCTCAAGTTACTAGCAGGAGGAACACTTTCATCTTTTTATGCTTTCTGGAAATCACCCTAGAGCTTGAGTATTTGCCGAAGTTCCTCGTTCTTGTCTCGATCTACGAAGGGAAAGGCGAGGCGGGGTTCAAACATCTCTACACACACCCACCCTCGCATACATTTCTGGCGAACACGAAATAGTCTTTTGGGCTTGACTAGTTACCCGAGAGCAGAAAATCCGAGTAAGGAAGGCACACACTCACACACACCGTTGGACGAGAAGTGAGGGGAGGAGGGAAGACGAAAGAGGGGTATGGCGGAGAGACCGGCGTGTTTGGTTTCCACGATGTTCGACTCATCATGAGGAGAGTGAAAAGAAGCGTACCTAGCAAGGTAAGGTAAGGTACGGCACCTACATGTAGGCAAGGGCAAGGGGTGTTCTGCCATCCAGCGAGAGACAAAAACCAAGGCAGAGAGAGGAACAAGAAGGAGGGCGAGAGAAACAGACTAGCAAAACATCGGATTACACGGTCCACGTGGGGTCGACGTAGACTTGCCTTCTCGTCGGAATTATTCCTCCAAAGAGATGCTGCTGTGTGTGTTGGTTGTTGTTGAGTTGAGTCCTCCAAGTCTCGAATCTCGAATCGGAGAAAGACATTGTAAGAACTCTAAATAAACCTTCTCTCACGACTCATATTCTTCAGACGATCGTCGACAAAATTCTCTTTTTCCAATCGAGATGGAGGGGGAGGGAAAGGGGAGGGGCGTGGTCATGCTGGATAAAGTAGAGCCCAGAAGAAAAAGGACCGTTTCCACGCTAGATGAAAAGAAGGAAATCCTCTCTTCGCAAGCACAAGAGAAGAAAACAAACTTTGATTTTCGAAGAGGAAAGAGTCAGGTCAGGTCAGGCCAGGTCAGGTTCGCTGGTTGAGACGGGGTGAAGTTGAGGGAAACTCTCCTGCTTAGTCGTGACGAGGAACCTTACGTCGGAACTTTAAACAACATCTTCGAATCCCCGTTTTCTCCGTTGGCCGATGTCTGTTTTTTTTCTGCTCAAGTTGCAAGGGTCGACGTCGCGGCGAGGCAACCGACAAAGCGAACGACAGAAGCCGAAAGAGGGAACATGAGGGGAACGAGGGCACAGGAACAAAGTTTTCATCGGTGAATCAAGTGTTTGTATTCTTATCTGACTGGCGGCGACCAGTCCGTTGGTTATCTATCTCTAGATTTTTGTTTCTAGTTTGGTTCTTTCTGAACTGAGAGACCTTGTTTTGAAGAGGCCTTGAGGGTATGGACAATATCTATCCGCGAATGGCAACTTGCCAATCAAGACAGATAATCTGGGGGTATCATACGGTAACAACACTGAGCGTAACACCCCTCGATAGAGATGGCGGGGGAAGAAACTTTGGGAAACATCCCGCGGCTGAAGCCCGTGCTTAGCTGGAGAAACAGGGAAGCGCGGAAATCCGGGATCTGCGTCCCACGGCAGAGCCGCAATCAGGTGCCGACGCTGGACAGCCTCAATGTCTGGAAACATTCAGGTTTAGTGAAACGACTGCCCTGGCTGGCCCGTGATTCTTGCAGCAGCAAGTCCTTACGATTCCTGGGCGTCCCCGATTGCGGACGGTGCGGCCAAACTCGCTTTTCGCTTTGTTTTGATTTTTTCGAGTCAGCCCCAACCCAAGTGGACTCGCCGCTTCCCACCTGTGCTGGTGAGGCTGCCGAAACTTCGGCGGTGCAGCGGAAGAGATTCATCTAGCAGGTTCTCGCCTGAGGATTTCACGTCTTTGTCTTTCTTCTCTTCTTCGAAGCGTTGCTAGCACTACGATCCGATACAGCACGGACCGAGGTGTTGTAGCTTGTCTCTGAGGCAGCGCCGTCACCACCATCTTCACTCGCAGAGTCGTCGTCTGATATATCATCCAGCGGGATCATGTCGTCCGAGGCCTCACCTGCGTCTTCAGATGCCTCGGCCAAGGACTTGTCGCCCTCAGCCTTGTCATCGTCAGACCCGAAACCTTCAAACTCCTCATCGTCCCCTTCTTCTTCGTCACTGGAGGGTCCCATTGACGTATCGGCCACGCTCTCGGCCACATCAGTTGCGTCACGCTTCCGCTTCTGGGGCATCTCGCCAAGCCTGCCACCACGGCCCTCAATGCCCTCTGCAGTCTCCGTGCCTTCTTCCTCAACAGGAGCTGGAGTGAACCAAGGGATCTTGCCACGCATGAAGTCGTTGAGGACCATCTTGGCAACACCGTCCAAGTCGGCCTCTCCGTGCTTCAACAGACGACCACCCTTTCGGGCAAGCATCTCGAGGAACTCGACATGATTGGTCCAACCCTTGAGTCCGTACGTTCTCTCCATGTGATGTGTCTTCACCTTCTCGAGCACAGCAGGGATGTACTGTTCGGGGTTGTGGACGTTCTCCACGCGAACGACACCTCTCAGGAGAAGATCCTGAGGGGTGTCGGTCTGTGACGGCGGTACAATACCGGGGCAATCAATCATGTCTATGAGGAATTAGTCCCATGCCCAGGTACGTCAAATTGAACTGATGATGACTTACAGATCTTGCGGGTGAGTGTAATATACTGCCAGACCTTGGTTTCACCGGGAATTGGTGCAACGTTGGCGACCTTCTTCTGTCTCAGAGTGTTGACGATGGAACTCTTGCCGACGTTAGGGTAGCCGATGAGACCAACAGAGATCTGTTTGCGGTCGCTGTGGAGCTTGGCGTACTGCCTTAGCAGCTCAATCAGACTACCCTTTCCAAAAGGATTCGTCAGACTGGAGTGCATCGCCAGCGTAGGCTTGTCCTTGGAGAAGTGCTTCACCCAACGGGCCTGTATCGAATTAGCTTTTGCATGAAGCAAACAAAAATCAATATGATCTGAAAAGTATGTATGCTTCACTACTAAGAAATACCACCATCGAAAGGCTCGAAAGAGCACTGGCAGACTTCAACTCATCGGAAGCAATTCTGTCTCATGATAGGAAATCCAAAACGGATCCCATCAGCCCTGATCCAAGGACCAGGACAGCGAGACAGCCCTTGATTTTCCCAGTGTTTAACGGAGAACTTCCATTGTAGGCACTCAAAGAGTGCGGAATGCTTCCTGACAAAGACACTGGGGTTTGGGATGGGGGCGGTACAGAAAAAAAGGCTTGGAAAACTTACAGCAACACTGGTGGGCACCAA